ACTGCGGGGAACTCTGCAAAAAACGCATCTTCGCACGGGCAGCCCGTGCGTTGGCCAATTATTGTTATTATTATGTTTCGATTCATTATTATTATTATTCTATTTTGCCTGTTGATAGCCTATATTGTACATATGGATTAGTGATAATTTGTCTCATGGTAGCTGATCTGCTCAGAAAATCAAGCACTTTGACACAAAGGAATTGCCCAGGTCGTTTGAATTAACTGGAAAAGCAGTTTTTGCATGAGCAGCCTATAAAAATATTAAAAGAACTTATAAAAACTACAAAATACTATAAAACCTATAAATCTATAAAAAGCTAAAAAATTCTATAAAATTATAAAATCTATAAAAACCTAATAAATTCATTCAAAACAAATCTATAAAACCAATAAAACCTAAAAAAAAGCCCACAAAAAAAAATTTTTTTGAAACTGTCACAGAAATAATTCTAAGGTACCTAAGTTCTAAGACCTACTACGATTGCAAATTTGTTGGCATCTGAGGATATTTCAATTTTTGGGTCAAAAAAATCATCTTTAAGTCTTCAGAGCTTCTAAAAAAGTTTTTTGAGACTAAAATAGAGATATTTGAGAGACGGAGGTAATCGGTGAGTGAAAAGTCCAGCGATAAAGGCGGATTAACTGATACCAAAAAAAGAAAAAAAAAACAACGATTATTATGCATTATTTTACAATTATTTTATATTACAAATTATAATCATTTTACAATATAATCATGTTTTACAAAAATACAGTACAAACAATAATTTTACCAGTCCCGTTCCATTAGAATAACATATTTGCCCCGTTTTGCCAAATGATATGCAATTGAAGTACCAACAATCCCACCACCACCAACGATCACATCCGCTACACCCGATGTCCCGCTGCTGCAAAAATTATTACAAAATTCCACTCAAAATAACAATTGGAAATCAAAAATGAAAGCACCTGGGAATCAGATAAAATCGGAAATTAACCCAATTTCTTTGAAACTCAAAAATTAAAGTATCTTGGAGTCAGAGGGGATTGGAATTAGCCCGAAAAACCAGCAACTGCCAAAAGTATCTATCCCCTAACAAAGCAGCCAAAAGTTCCCTCTTTTGAAAGTTAATAACAATTAGGGAAATCAAAAATTAAAGTGCCTGGGAGGCAGAGGAAATCGAAAATTAACCCAATTTTTTCTTGAAACTCAAAAATTAAGATATATTGGAATCAGAGAAAATTAGAATTAGTCCGAAAACTCAGCAACTACCAAAGATATCTACTCACTAACAAAGCAGCCAATAGTTCCCTCTTGTGAAAGTTGTTTCGAAGTAATAAGAAGATATATGAATATGAAGGTGAATTGAAAACGGATGAAAAAAATGAACAGAAAGGAAGGTAAGAGATGAGAATTACAAAACTTGTAAAATTATTATAACAGTAAGAAATGTTTCGGTCCATTAAGTTGTATACATTTCTTGCCAATACCACAATTGGACCTCACACTTGCACAGAGACAGAGCAAGCTGACGGCTGTTTTGGATTCAAAAAAATTTTCAAAATTCAAATATATGAGGTATAAAACCATGATAAAATTGGAAACCAATGTGCCAGGGATCAAAAAACAGCAAAATCCTGATATATGATATTCTCGCATATCTTTAGTAATTTGCATATTCAAGACAATTCCAGAAAGGTATTTGCGAAAAATTTGCGGTAAAAGTGTTTCTTTCGCCGGCAATTTCCGATTCACAATATCCTGGGCAGGGCTACCCTCCTTACCAAGTGGAAATACTCGGAAAATCGTAATGTTGCGGGTTTTGTTCGAGGCAAGAAAAGGGAAGGGGGGGGAGGGGAGGGGCTGGGAGGTTCTGGCCCCGGGGATCGGGGTGTTTTTCGATTCGTTTTCACTTAGTAGGCCTTCTCCCTACCAAGTGGGAGTACTTGAAGTACTTGAAAAATCGTAATATCGCGGGTTTCGTCCGAGGCAAGGGCGGGGCGCGGGGGAGGGGGCTGGAAGGTCCTGGCCCCAGGGATCGAAGTCTTCTTCGATTCGTTTTTACTTAGTACTTACAGAGAGACAAAGAAAATTTTTGCATAAACTAATACTGTTAAAGTTCACGGGACAAAAGAAAACACCTTCGATATCTCAGTGATAAGCCGTTGATATGTTGTGGCCTGGATAAGCCGGAGATCAGCTTTTTCGCCCTTAGCACCAAATCCAGCTTGATCACCATCCCGATCAAATTACCACAAGTTTGTTGCTCAAACTTTCAAAATATCCTAAATCCTGCAAAAAAAAGAAGCACAAATTTCAAAGAGCTTAGGCGCTGAATAAATTCGCCACGATACAAAAAAACTACTGGGGGGTTAAAGCCCCTCTTCCTCCGTTGATCAGCATAGTGGTATTACAACTCTATGGGCAAAAATTTACAGGGAGCAAATTTCAACCAAAAAAAAGCGAAAAAACGCTCAAAAATTAAAGTCATAGGTGAATCTAGGACACCAAAAAAAGCGAAAAAACACCAAAAGACACCAAAAAAAAGCGAAAAAACGCTCAAAAATTAAGGTAATAGGCGGATCCAGAACCGACTTTTGCGGGGAGGGAGGGGGGG